GCAACCCCGACCACGAGGGGAGCAGATGCGCGAACGGCGACGACCGCTTGAAGTTCGTGGTGAATGTGAACGTTGCCAGGGAAGTGAGGACGCCCTATCGGTAGCAGCCGTGGTTAGCATTTACTAAGGTATCTTCCACGAAGACTGTGCAGTACGCAGCTTCCCCTCCCCCTCCACAACCGCCCCTCCCCCTCCCCCTCCCCCTCCCCCCCCGGGGATACATATCATGCATAGATAAACTCACCATAGCAATCCAAACATGAATCCCCCGATTCGTCAGGAACTTATGCGCCACCGTCCCCTCGGGCGGGAACATGTTGGGGTACTGTTTCTTCCGCTGGGCCGCCTTCTCGGCCTCCGTCAGGCGCGGGCCGTAGTGCACCGGGTCGGCGTTCACGACGCGCCCATTGCTGGTGCGCACCACGCGCCGCTGCGGGTGCGACGGCGGCCGGAATCGGTCCGGTTGCGGGAGCACGATCGGTTTGTCTTTGGTTTTCGGGGAGGTGGATTTGCTCGAGGCGCAGCGGCGGGTTGTTACCGTGCTGCTGCTGCTGAGGGCTTGTTGGAGGCTTCGAGGGGTGGGGATGCCTCGTGGGAGGAGGAAGCGCGGGATTCGGATTGTCGTTGTTGGTTGCATCTTTTTTTTGGGGGGTTGGGGGTTGGTGAGCCGGGGGAGAAGGTTGAGGGTGGTAGGTTTGTGGAGGTAGTGCCAGCTGAGGTTGATTGATATGCCTGATACGGGCAATTTTCTTGACCGGGGAGGAGGTGGTGGTGCCGGGCGGTGTGGGCTTGTGAGCTTGTCACGTGAGATGGCGGACAGTCGCGATACTACGGCTAAGTTACTGAGTTGGGGTTTGTTTTTTGGGCCAAGCTTCTTGAAGGCTGGTCTGAGGAAAATATGTCAAGCATAATGCACTGCGATATTCGAGGGCGCAGTGTGTGTGTTATACAGCTACGTACATTGCACTGCGCAAGTCATTGAATGGCATGGACATCGTCCCGGCGCATCGCATGTTTACTTGACCGGGTGGTGATTGTTGCTACGTACCTACAGTATGCGACGGAGCGGAACAATGTAAGCCCAACGCCAAGTCGGTCAGACTCGGAGGACGAATGACCGTCCAGGGATTTGCAAATGTTGCTCCGTACCCCCGAATCTGGCCCGGCTCTGGTCTCGTCTGGTCCGGGCCACCACAAAGCAAAGGCAATGGCAAAAATGATGTAGTGCTTTCACCATTCTCATATCATCCCCTATCGTCCTCAGAGTTCCATTGTTCAGTCTCGTCCTGAACCATTCTTTGGTGATTCTACACCGATCGAATTCAACCGATTGGTTGCGGGATCCCGAAGGCACGGCAGACAGAGTCAGCAGGAATGAGCGTAGAATGAGATCATACCTCATAACTTAACTTACCGCCCAGGTAGGGGTCGAGAACACCTGGAGAGAGAGAGAGGTTGTATAGTAAATCAATTAAGAAACACTAGTATAGACAGCATAACAATCAATAGACCTCAGGCCAAATCATTGACTCTGGACTCTCATTCTAATTTGGGCTGGTAACTCGAGGTAACTGTGCCTGGTGATCTCATCTTTTCATCCATGATCCAAAAAATCACACCGGCATCTGGTCCCGGATGCGCCCGTTGCGCTGAATCATCGCGGCGCTGATTGGCGGAGGCCCGGATCACGGGAAAAGGGCTGTTGGGGCCGCTCTTCCCAGTAAGTACAAATTGCAATCGCAAGTTTTTCTGTCCTCCCCTTCTGCTTTCCCTTCTTCCCCCGGAATCTCCTCCGCTCAATCCAATTCCTCTGTACTTTACCTTCTTTACCTTTCTTTTTTAATACCCTTCACACATTCAAAATGGGCAAGGACGCTGGTTTCGCTCCTGGTAAGCATTCCACTTGGAATTTCCCTGATCTCCCCGGTGTCACCGATCATGCACTGGTCGCCTCGAAGACTCGGCTTGAACACAATGTCTTCGGGGCTGCCGGATGCATGGGCCAGGTGTTGGGTGGTGGTGCCTGGTCTCGATGTGTTATGATCATGGGTTCTTTGTCGGTTCTGTCGCCTTGACAATTTGTCGCTGCTTTGCCTCTTTGACTGCAATTGCAAGGCCCATGAACCAGACCACAAGATCTCAAGACCAGCGAAAGACTCAGGACCATGACGAGCTTCGACACCTACTGTTTCCTCACTACAATCCACATGCGCGAGGCCGAGCTGGAGGCCTACGAAAAGCCCCAGCAACCGGCAACACAAATGCCCATTCAGACTGCGGCTAACATCTCCGGTTTTTCAGGTGACTCTGCCAAGGGTGCCAAGCTCTTCCAGGTGAGTTGATGTCTTCTTCAGCATCCATTTTATGAACTCGGTGGCTAACTCTGCATTTTCCAGACTCGCTGCGCTCAGTGCCACACCGTCGAGGCCGGTGGTCCCCACAAGGTCGGCCCCAACCTCCACGGTCTCTTCGGCCGTAAGACCGGTTCCTCCGACGGCTACGCCTACACCGACGCCAACAAGCAGGCCGACGTCACCTGGGATGAGAGCACTCTCGTAAGCCCACCCTCGCGACCCGCGCACCAATCGTGATCAACTTGACTAACATGCTTCCTTCCAGTACCCCTACCTCGAGAACCCCAAGAAGTACATCCCCGGTACCAAGATGGCCTTCGGTGGTCTCAAGAAGGCCAAGGAGCGCAACGACCTCATCACGTACGTTCCTTCCTGCGATCGGTTCAGGCACCGTCAGCTAACGGATATGTTTCCTACAGTTACCTCAAGGAGGCCACCGCTTAGATGTCTTCACCTATGTGAAACCTTCTAGACCCCGACCGGGACGTACGGGTCTGCCTCGACTCTGCGTGCTGGAAACAGCCGGTCACTCGGTCGTCTCTGCGGCTTGGTCGGGTCATGTAACATTACCCTTTGATTACATGCGATAGACTTTGGAATCTTTGTGCGATGGAAGAAAAAAGAGGATGCTATAGAGCCTTTTGCCTCCTTCGCGACCGCTGTCTACTACACATATTCCCGATTGACGTTTTGTTTATTTTTTTTTTCATTTGTGACCAACGAATGCCCTGCTCTGTGTATGATGGTATCAATATTTTTTTTTCTGTGAGACTATAATGAAAAAAGATCTCCTCTCATGACGCCATGCGCGCCGAAAGTGACCTCTAGGTGCGTCTGTGCTTTTTCCCGTTGCAGTAAATTGATGCGTTGGCCGAGTCTGGCGTTTCAGGATGATCAGGATCACGTGTACCGATGGGTTGGCGGTCGGGCAACCGCCAGGCTTCAAGGTTCCCTGATTTTCCCGCCGTTGCTGGCCGAGAGAGAGAGGGTGGGTGAGAGACGTGAATCCATCAATCATCGACGGCCGCTGAGACAAGTCTTGACTGCAACGGCAATCTGGCGGATGATCCTTGCATCGTTGGAGAAGCATCTCGGCCACATGATTGGACCAGTTGTCCTGCTACAGCCTGCTACAGCCTGCTACCGCCATGACCAACTTGGTGCTTAGTTGGTTGCACTTCCTCAGACAAACAGTCTATCTTTGCGCATTCAAAGTGCAGGCAAGCCATGATGCGAGTGCTACCTCTCCCCGTTCGGAACCATGGGATTTTCATCTGGTCGAAGATGTGAGATAATCTGGGGACTGATATACAGTACAGTACGGAGTACGGTATGTACCACTGATCGGAACCCAGGGATGACCACGAATGACGCGAATCGGAAGATGTGACCGAGCACGATGGCGTGGCAGTAAGCACGACCGGACGTGTCGAAGCTGCTGAGAGTTCATCCGTACTGTACATCGGGAGTATCAGGCTTCTTTCTCCCCCTCCTCGCCCTGCAGCACTTCAGCCACAGCGTCCCTTTGCCCCTCCCCACTTTGAGAGTTTCTTCGCTGACTATCGCTATCGATAAACCCCCCCGTTCATAATCGATAGGGATGTATTCTTGGTTCAGGTCCTTCCGCCCTTTGTTATCGCATCGATGCCCGCACGTTGTCTGCCCTTTATGCGATGGATGGAACAACGGGGGGTTCTTGAGATGCGCTCCCTACGCAACAACTTTGCGCACTTTGCGCACTCCCCTGGGCTTTCCCCCACCATCGGTTTCTACCGGCAATCAGAAGAGGAAGGACATTTTGCAAGCTCCATCGACACTCCCTCTCCAAAGATAGTCGGTTTTAGCCCATCGCACATGACCCGGGGCTGGTCCACCACGATTGGTCCAGCCACCCCCCTCCCCTCCATTGTTTAAATACGGATTCCGAACCCCCCCCTCCGACCAGCGAGACATGCGAGGGGCGCGTATCATCTACTTGTACCTGGAAAAGAAACAGGTTACTTTACCTACTTGCCTCGAAACCCCGTGTGTGAAATCGCATTGATATTACTATACTTCCATCGCAATCTTATACTGCACTGACTTCGGACGGAATACTGAATACTTGCTTGCCTCAACGCACACCATCTTATCTATCTATATAGTCTATTCAGATCGTGTATTGACTATCTTATCTGCCCTCCACTAACCGCATCCTTCCATAGCTCCCCTCCCTGTCTCACACAGGTGGCACCCTCTCTTGCGGTGCCTGTGTCTGTGGCTCTGTGTCTATAGTGGTGGTTCATGCAAGCACCTCTCACAGTTGCTTTTGACGGTGTATTGCGGAGAACCCGCTGTGACTTGTCGCATCCCATAACCGTTTCTAAACACTGACTGACTGGTTGGCCTATTGACACACGCACACACTGCCGTCTATCCTCTATAATCTGTACTTGATCCTCTGTGAGGTCTTGCGCGCGTGCGATCGCTCACCCGTCTACCCTGGTGAATCCAGTGAATGATTCAGGTCGCCCTTGTGGTCCTCAGGCACCCAGGCTAATTACTTACATTCACTTACGGTCCTCATTTCTAACTCTCTGATCGCATTCCATTCCCTGGCCTCACCTTCACTTTATCTTTTAAACTCTGGGTAGACTTCTCTCTCCCCTCTCTTCCTTCCACTCACCTTCTCACCTTCTCACCTTCTCACCTCCTTACCTCCTCACCTCGCTCTCACATTTCATGCCTCCCCCCACCTTCCCCATCCATCCGCGCCTAGAACACAGCTCAGATCGTATCTAAGCGCGCTTGCGACTAACCATCTGATCAAGTCTTCTTGACCTTTTCCACCATTCGCGCAGTATCCTCGCCCGCGCAGTGCGAGGTGTCGTCCAGATCGTTGGCGCGATCAAGAGGATCCTTGGCTCTCGTGGCTATTCGTTGTGAAACACCGTCCCAGATGTTAGACGAACTCGACAACAACTTCGACGACCATCCGTCTCTGGATGCGTCGCTCGAGGATTTTGAAAGCAGCAGTAACACACAGCGTTCACCCCTCTTCAGTCTCTCGTCGCAGCATTCGGGATTCCGCGAGGAGGAATCAGACCCAGACGATGAAGACCCCAATCCCAACACGGAGCGCTGGTCACCACCCGGCTTTCGCAGACACGATTACAATCCAGGAAGTGGTTGGTATCGCCACGAAGCGTATTCTCGCAGTCCGGAGAAGGAGCGCCCCGTCCTCAAGCCGACAGTTGGGGTGAGCCCGGCGCAATCGCGTGAAGGTAGCCCACAGTACGAGGATGCGGTCGAGGCCCCTGTGACAAAGAATCGCACGCAGTCGTCCGCTATGACCGAGACCACAGCATGCGCGCCGACGGCCATGTCGCTACAGAGCCCCGAAAGGACCCAGACACGTTCGCCAAGCAGAGCTCCGGCTGGCGGGCAAGCTGGTCAGGACATCGAGGTGGACTTCGCACCCGAGCAGGACCTTAGTAGTTGTAGGTACCACTTCGGAGCACAACTCTATCCAGCGAGCTGGTATGGAATACTGACCTGTGATTTTTTCTTTGCATGAAGATATCCGGTTCCAAGTACGCGCCGAAGTTCAGCAACGTGAACCATTGGCGGCCATATCCGGGTACCTGCGTGAGAAGTTTGATAAGATCACCAGCACTCGGACCAATACCCTCGTATCCATAGTTGTCGCCCTTTTGTCCATAGGATTGATGCGCACCTTGTTTCTCCCGAACTATCCTCAGCCAATCCCTGACTTGGTCAAGCTATCCGGGTTTGCGCGCTCCTTTGAACCCCTGATTTACTATTCGGAACATGGCGCGCAGCAAATCGAAGCCCTGCAGGAAACCGGCGTGGCGGTCTGGGACCTGAGCGAATCAGTTCGTGGCACCAACATGACCAGCGCGCCTATCATCGTTCGCCAGCTAGATGAACTGTCCGAGTCCCTTAAGTCACTGTCATTGGAGCTGACTCGCTTCTTCGCCAACGTTGATGCCGACTTCGACTCGATCCTGATTGTCATGGATTGGGCCAAGCGCGAACTGGAAGCGATCAATGCGCAGCCGCCTAGCTCGTTGCCGACGCTCATGTTCGATAATCTGCATGAGATCCTTGCGCGGCTGGGTACCATGGAACGGCCGATTGACCCCCATGATGCTCCTCCGGGTAGTGAGCTGGCGACTACACCCACCACATTCGGGCAAGTCGTGACAGCGGTCCTTGGACAAACCTCGGCGCAACGCACGCGCGCGACGCTCACTCGGACTTTTACGGAATTCTTGGGTGTGCTTGAAGAATGTATCAACACTGAGCTGCACCATTCCACCGCGCTCTTTGGGCTCTTTGAGTCTATCGATCGCCAGTTCCTGAATCTGCAACGGACCGTCGTTCGTGAGTCGGATGCGCAAGAACGAGAGGAGGGCGAGATGCTGAGTTCCCTGTGGACCCGTGTTCTCGGACCGGATGCCTCCATAGTTCGCAAGTACGAGAAGAACAAGCGGCTTCTTGCCAGCGTCCGTAGTCGGACTGTCACTAACAAGCACCTCCTGATGGACCACCGCGGACGCCTCCTCACGCTCAAGGTGAATTTGGAAACCCTGCGCCGAAAGTTGGTCAGTCCGCTGGTGCGGCGCAACGATTCGGTCCGGTTCGCGGGTGGTGTTGAGGCTAGCAATAGTCACAGTCATGGACGCATGCTCGGGCCGATCGGCGCCGTGATTGAGGGTCAAATCCGGGGAATCGACGGCAGCTACGAATATCTTCGGGGCGTGCGCGACAAACAGAAAGCACGATTCATGGAGTTCGTCTTCGGCGCTGGGCGACGAATCCCGACAAACGCGATGCTAGCGGATGGATCCGAGGGCGATGAGGTGGAAGCGCAGGCCATTGACGAGGGTGGTGATTAAGTTGACAGACAGGTTCGAGACTTGTGCTTGACTGAAAAGCATGGCCAGGCGTTTTCCATCTGTCATCATCTCGTCGCTGCGTGTTCTTTCCATCATCGTCATTGTCATCGTCCATCTCTCTACCCATTCACGCATCTATCGGAATACACGGCGTTGCATCTGATCCCTGCCGGTTAGCATTGTCTTGTCTTGCTATGCATGTGACATGGTGGGGCGTTACATCTACAGGATCGTTCATCATCTGGTTGTGGGCATGGGCATGGTTCTCAGCATCTTCTTCTCTCTGGGGTACATGGTTGCGTCTCCCGACATCACGTTTTCTGCTTATATCTATGGAGTGTACTGACCCGTTGGCGTCCATAGATTTGTTTCACTGACTGGCGTTCTTTTTCAAATTGTCATCTCTCGATGCTCCGTTTTCTTCTCTTCTCTTCATGTTTCCTTTCGTCGTCGAGGGGCTTCTTCGTTTGATCTTGATTGCATTGATTCGATGATCGACGATCGATTTGATTCGGCGAATCCAAGGCAATGGGGCAATGATGAGGGAGGGAAAATTTTTTCTCAAGAGATAGACAAACAGGAAACGGTGCTATCATTTGCTTTGCTTTAAGGTTATGGGGTTTCGATTGTCCTCTTCGAAGTGCTACCAGTCGTCCTCCGGCCAGGATTTATTTTTTTTCTTTTCGATGCAGATAACATTGAAATGGATGGGGGCTTTTGTTTTGGTGGGGTATAGGTAAGGTAGTCGCTCCCCGGCCCTCATCGCGGGTTTGACTACTCTTGCTTTCTTTGTCTGGTTGGTGTATGTAGGGCGAATGGGAAGCTGGGAAGGGGTTTGGGTTTGGGTGGTTGTTGTTGTTATCATGGATGCCGGGCGTGCCTCGTTTCATTTTTTTCTTGTTTGTGATTTCTTTGCTTTTTTCACTTTCACACAAATCTCCCATCATCCAGGCTTGCATTGTGCATTGACTCTCTTTCTTTCCTCTTTCATCCACTTCTTTCTCTGTGAATACATAGGGACGTGCCAATGGATTGATTGATTGACTTGACTTGAGATTCCCCAACTGCTTGCTTGCTTGCTGGCTGGCTGGCTGGCTGGCGTGCTTAATTTCTCTCCTCTTTGTTCTCGATACGCAAGTTATACGCCGGTTGGCCAGCAACCCTGGGTGCGTATGGGTCTGGGTCCGGGTCTGGATCTGGACATGGGTGGGTAGATCTACCAGCCCCGCCGCAGCGCGCTTGTGCTTGTGCTTGTACTTGTCCCTCCCAAGCTAAAGATCGGTTTCTACTCGCTCTAAGCTTTTGGTGGACGAGCTGGGTTAGCTGGGCTGAGTACCACGCCATGCTTTGTGAATAGCCCCCCCCACCCCCCGGCCCCCTTCCGATCTAGCCCACCTGTTTACTCGTAGTAGCTCCCAGACGGGACCCTTTTAGATACAGATACAGACAGATATCGACACAGACAGAGACATGGACAAAGGCTCATTTATAATACGATCCAAGTATAGGGAGCCTTTTCCGCTGGCGAAGCGAACTTGGGAAACGTTATCACTTGCATGCATACCTACTTGCCTCCCTGCCTCCCTATCTAGCTACCTAGCTAATACTCCGACAACGCTGGATCCAAGCCCATGGGACTATTCTCGCTAACGTACCACGTTATAACATAACATAAGTACCGTACATCCCCTCTTGACCAGAGATTATAGTATAGCTGCGGGTCCCCTTTCTACGCGGCAGCGTATTATCCGTGATGGATTACATAGGTGCTTTTGTATCTGCCGAGATATATGATTAGTGGGCGAGAGAGATCATGGAGGTAGGTAAGGTATGTCTAGCACACTCCGGTAACACCTTATCACCGATCCATGAGCTAGTAGAGATGGAGAGCGGTAGCTCTGACGGCGATGATTAGAATGGTATGTACGGAGTAGTCGAACTCCTGTTCCTTCTTTCCTTCTACTTTTCTCTTTTTGGTCGAAGCTCCTGCTTGAGGCTTGTAATCGGTATTCTCGAGACTTCACTGACATGGTGGGTTTCCTCTAGTATTGTATCCTCTGCCCTTAAATAGCATTAGTTTGGCTGCTGGATTGAACGAAACCACCATGCATCCACTGAGTCCTGACTACGCCTAGAGATCTAATCAAATAGCACCACGGCACTCTGCTTGAAGACCTCCGGTCCCAGCACCGCCGCCAGCTCCGCGACAATCCCCTTCACCGATTGAGGGTTGTCCATCGGCATCCTCTCCCATCCAACAAGGTCCTATCATCATTCCCTTGTTAGTATCGCTTCGACCAGGTGTACAATGCACATAGCGCGCATTCTCCAGATATACCAAGTGTGGAGAGAAGGGGGGAACGTACAATCATATGTACAAAGGACCCATGCACCAGAAGCAACCAGTGGTCCAGGTCTAGCGCCTTCACTTCATCCAGAGTCAACACGCCAGGCATGTGCAAGTCAAAGAGTGACATGTCCTCATCGTTGATTTCCGCATCAGCGGTGTCGGGCTCAGAATGAGTCTTCTCAGCAATAGTGGTGGTTGCTTGGCGGTCCCGTGAAAGGGAGACGTAGGGTCGAGTGTCGAGTTTCTGGGAGAGTTCGCCGTCGAGAGGGTCCCAGGCGTAGGATTCGGGGTCTATCATAATTAGTTTTAAGGGAAAAGGTGAAAGGGGGCCGAAACAGGGCCCATACCGAGGATGTACTGGGGCTTGAAGGTTCCCTTGTACCGCATTTTCTGACATGTATGGATATAGTATCCTTACCGGAATATTAGCAATAGCACGCGATCTGAATCGATGGACTTACCCATGTAGTAGTACGGGTATTGAGCCTCCACGGCAAAAGCGATCTCCCGCATCGCGCTCAACTTGCCGAACTCCCATTGTTCATAGTCTGGGTCATAACTAGCTGATGTTAGCTTTGGGTGGAATCGGCCACGCAAACAGGAAGCAGTACAAGATGTATACAGAGCTCACACCATTAGGCATCAGATCTAATACAGCTACGGCGATGAGCTTGCCATCGAGACGGTAGCACTGATGCCACGATCCGAGCTTCTTCTCGTCCGACTTCTTCGGATCGGCGGGTGAGCGCGTCAGGCCTGAGCAAAGGAAGCGCTTGAAGTCCTTGGTCTGCCACTTCGAGACGTCTTCCTTGTGGACTGTAGTCTGATACTTGCGGAAGAGGTCGAATCTGCGGGTGGATAGGTCAGAATTTCGATTTGAAACCGGTCAAAGTGACGGACTTGGCCTGAGAGATAGAGTCGCCCTCCAGATTAACCTCGAAGCGATGCGCGGGCTCGAGGTACTTCTTCGTCTTAGGATCAATGGGCCGTTTCACATTGCTATATTCGGCTTCGTGGACGGCCCCCCGGAGGTCGAAGTGGGACTTGCGGCTCTTCTTTTCCCTGCAATGCGGACATTCAGCGACCCTTCATGGATCCATCCCAGCTTGGATCGACTTACTCCCGTGTCTTGGGGCAGAGATATGCGGCTCGACGGATGTATTCAGGGCCGAGAACGAACTTGTTCCAGCGGTTCACGGCCTTGCGTTGATCCTTCCGAGGTTTGAAGTCCAATGCTTCCAGTCTGTAATGATGGTTTAATCTCGTGAAACATAGACAGGGGGAAAGAGCCGATCACCGACCTCATCGTATAGTGAGGGCAGCATGACCGCTGCAGGTTCTGCTTGTAGTACAGCGTGCCCGATCTAGGCCTGGGTTAGTCCCCGTGTTGTTCGTACTTCTCATGCACCAAATGAACCACACGATACCTTCTCCAACCCCGATTGACAAGGGCCTCATAATGGGCCGGTCGCACAGAGACCGAGCTAGTGTAGTAGGAGGCCGCTGCAGCAGGTGTGCGTTAGCACTGGCATGGCATGAAGCCGTCGTCGACATGCCTGTGATGGGCATCTCTGGTGGGGCAGCGTGGGGAGACTCACAGCCATCACCAGATTTGCAGTAGCCACAAGAATTGCGTTGGTAGCCTGAAGGTCGAAGTCAGCGGCAAGAGGCAACCGGTGGGGCGGTCTACATGGCGACAATTGAAGACGATAAATGACCAAGAATGTGATTTGGTGATGTTTTCACTGGAGGCAACGGGAACAGGAGACGAAGTTCGGCAAAGGTGGTTGGCAGTGGTGTTGTTTAGGTCGTACTATGGGGAAGCGAAGGCCGTATAGATCGAGATGAGGGGCAGCAAAAATGCCATGCCGGCACATTGAGGGGCACCGATTGGGGGAGAGAAAAGGGAACCAACTGGGGCGGATACTGATTGCACGGGGCTGAAGACGCTATGATGACTGGTTGCTTACCTAGAGGCCGGAAAAGCGACAATTTTCTTGCCTGCTCGGCGTCAACAATCGAGACCATGGCTTTTTTGTTGGTTGTTGTTGTTGCTGGTGATGGTGGTGGTGGTTGGTGTCTATGTCAAGCACCAAGCGGAGATCGCAGTCTGAGATGGAGCAACGGATTCACAAGGCATGCATGCAACTGCAGAATGAGTCGGAAGAGTGGGAAGACCCGGATAGAATCGTATCACTGGAATATCCTCTGTCGATGACGAGGATGACAAACTAGAGTAAGTATCCTGGTGGCTGCGATGTGGTGGCCTGAGGGGCCCGAGATTGTTGTGATCTTGGAGGATGGAAATGGAGAGAAGATGATGCGGGACGGAATGGTTGAAGCTGGCCAATTCGGCAAGCCCATCATCCATCATCCATCATCCATCATCCATCATCTACTACTAGGTAACTATAACTACGTACTTCAACTTAGTTACCTGCTACTACCAACACCACCCAACCCAACCCAACTCAACTCGTCTCATCATCCCATCACCCCATTCACGCCCGCTTGGTCCCAGCTACTGACAGTGTTAGTGTCCCGTTGGCCAACCAAACCCAACTTCGTGATGCTTCTAGAAAAGAGCAACCTAGCTGGGTCTGCATGAAGGGATCGGAACCCATGTCGGAACCTCCTGTAAGGACCGACTGATCACCCCAGCAAGCCCAAAGCAAGTACGCCTACTGCAGTGAGGCCGCGATCTACTCCTTTACCCCGTACTTTTGTCCTTGCTCTGTTGGTGTGCCCTGCTT